TTGGAGGGCCTAAAAGTTTAAGGTGTTGCTGCGCAAAAGGGGTCGGACACAGGGCGCAGCTCATGCTAAGAGCTAGAAGGGGAGCTAGAGAGAACGACTACCCTGTCCCGTTATTGCGTACACCAACACCACAAAAGCTCTCTCTCTCCTGTCCACTCAGGGGGGTCACAACTACCGAGGCCCAGCCCTGGTCTGGACGGTTCTTTTGCGGTATCTTGATGTAGTTCTCCATATCTGACCGTATCCCGCCATATCCCGCCATATCCCGCCGTATCCCGCCGTATCCTGCCCTATCCTGCCCGCCTCACGCCGAGCAGCCCGGCCTCTCCGCGCTCCGGCCGCAGAGCGTGACGCATGGCGCGACGGCATAAAAGAAACTTAGACGGCTCGTGTGCTCGAAACAGGGAATGATATGTCTTTGAAGAAGGCACACGAGCTGACACGCGAGCTGACACATGCACCCGCTAACACATGTCGCCCGCAGCACGCTCACGTGCGCCCTCACCATGGCACCTCAAATGCCCGACCCGGCGAGCCCACTCGCGGAGCTCGGCGGAGCCAACCTCGAACGAGTGCGGGAAGACGATGGACGGCTCCGCCCCGTCCGGCGTTGCCTGTGGGAAGCGCAGCGGCTCGTAGGAAAGTTTTCCGGAATCGCACAGCAACGCGCGGTGCTCGCCGGACGTCGCGCGCGTCGTCCCCAGGTTGATTCCGAGCTGTTTGTGCCGTCTGGCTACAACGAAACTCCCTCGCACGACACTGTGGGCACGGGACTGGCGCGCACTGGCACTAACACAGGTACACCACGGCTAGTTTAGAGCTGTTTAACGTTGGGAGCTGACTGAACGGTGTCTGCTTGGTAGTGTTTAACGGTAACAACAGAACAACAGTGGGCCTCCCCAACAACAGTAGCTAACGTTAGGCCAGCTGAGCAACAATAAGGAGGGCCTGCCAGAGCAATAACAGCCACGACGATCTCTTGTAGAGTCTCTAGCGTCCAGTGGCAGTGCGGGCAATGCCCGAAAATACCTGGGAAACCCGGGGATTTTCGGGGTTTACCCGATTTTTTTGCCTGACCGCTGAACAACAGTAACATCAAGGGCTGGGTTGAACACTTGAACAATGTTAATGATTTCAACCAACACTAGCGCACCTGTTATAGGCCCAAAAGTTAATGTTAACAAGCTCTACGCTAGTTCCATTTCACGGAGTTGCTCGTCACACGGTTGATTCTTGAAGTAGAGAGCGCCTGTATAGCGCCGCCTCCTGCCGCACAGTGTGTCGGCACGGTGCCAAGCGGCTCCAATTCTGGGTGGACGGCGACAAACTCGGACGCTCCACGGACCACGCACCGCGGAGACGGGAGAGATGGGACTTGGGGGTGGCCCAGGGCCAGGCCGCTGCCTCTGCGCGCGTCTTGGTGGGGAGGTACAAAATGCTAGACTGAGAATCAAGGTCTTGTAACGCGGTTTGTTCTTTGTATCGGTCTGAATTAACCAGCCTCTAGGCCAAGCGATACTTACCGTACCATTTATTTTGGATTTAACATTTATGCAAGGCCAACCAACCTGCGTTAGTAGTGGGAACTAGCTACAATAAAGCCCTTCCATCCATTCAAGAAGGCGGCGCGCCGCTCGCTACAACTCGACGCGCATGACGGGACGCCCCGGCCACGGCCGGCGGCTCGAGCCGGCGGCCACGGCGTTGTCCCAGCCCCTGCTCCCGATCCCGCCCCAGGGCGGCCCCCCACACGGCCGCGCTCATAACTATCCCGGGCGTCCGCGCTCTCACTCACCGAGAGGACGGCACTTCACACGCGCGGGGGGCGGGTGCTGGCTTGGCAGGTGTGTGGGGTTGGCGCTCTCGGCGCGGGTCGTCTCTCGTTCGCGGCGCAGTATCGCAGCATTATGAACCGGCCCTCTCCGGGGCCTCTCTCACGGGCCACTCACTGCTTGCCCTTGCGGGTCGTGAGCCAGTCCGGGAGCTTGTTCGGGCCGGGGCGGCGGGACGATGCGGCGGCGCTCGAGCTCCCGCCGCCCGGAGGCGCCCTCCCCCTCTCCTCCGGCGCCCCGTCCATCGAGAGCGCGGCGGCGAGTGCAGGCAGCCGCTCGATGGCCGCGTCCGTCGGGCTGGACGACGGGCTCGCGGAGAGGTCGGCCGGCGAGGCGGCCGCGACGAAGCTCCCCTCGAGCCGCACGGGCAGCGGGTCCTCCTCCGTGCTGCATCTGCAGCTCTCGATCCGCTCGAGCCGCGCGCCGGGAGGCTCGAGGCTGCGCGTGAGGCGGTCGAGCTCCGCCTCGTGCGACCGACGACGCTGGTGGTCGACGTCGCGCAGGCTCTCGGAGAGCACCGAGACTCGGTCCGCGACGGAGAGGGCGGAGCCGGCGCTCGAGACCACGGACGGCGACGGCGAAGACTCCTCGATTGTCATATTTGACGCGAGGCTGATGCGGCTGCCCGCGAAGCTGATGCGAGAGCCCACGTCTGTTCCTCCCGCAACGCTGGACGCGCCGTCGTCAAAGGCCTCCAATGAGCTCATGCGCCGCACCGACGGCGCCGACAAGAACTCACCCACCTTCAGCCCCGACATTTCGCAGGCAGAATGCAAGCCCTTCGGGACGCCGTCTAAAGAATTTTGCGGCGGAATTTTTATCGTCACGAATGCCTCCCTTGGGTTGTGTGTTTTCTTTCTTTCTTTCTACGGCACGACGCTGGGCACGGGACTGGCGCGCACTGGCACTAACACAGGTACACCACGGGAGCCGCCTAAGCGACTCCTGCGAGGACGGAGGGCGCGAGGCACGCGAAAGAAGAATTTTTGATCAATAGAATTTTCTCCGATCGACCTGATAACGACCCGAGATCGACCCGAGATCGACCCGAGACTGACCCGAGATCGACCCGAGATCGACCTCCAAAGCCCCCTCCGGGGGGACCCCCCCTCACCCCGAGTGTCCGTGTCCTTCGCGAGTCACCAATGGGGAGCGGGGGGGGGGGGTGCGAGATGCACAGGGGAGGCTGGGGAGGGGGGGGTCCATCTGAAGACTGCCGACCGCGGGGGGGGTTCTCCCACAGGGTTTTTACCCTCCGCGTGAGGATCGGCGCGGCGAGGGGGTAGGCTCGAATTCGCCGCGCAACATTTCACCCCCACAGGACCCCGCCCGCCCCCCCTCATTGGTCCCACCACCTAGCACCCCAATCTTGCCTTCGCACCCTCTCCTTGCGTGGTGTCCCCCACTATGTGTCGCCGTTATCGGGGCACGCTATCCTGTGCAGTCAGGGCAAGTGGGGGCGGGGGGCAGTCCCACCGGTCTGTTACTGGTGTGTGGGTGCACTTGGAGCACTTGGGTGTCTCCAGTCTCGGAGGGGGGCTTGAAGGTAAGAATATTTTATTTTTTCCAAATCTGCCCTCTAATCAACCGTAATCATTCGGGAAGTTGGCGCTAGCGGAGACTAGCGGAGCCGGGTCCCCGTTTCCGCACTGCGGCGCGGCGCACGGTGCCTCCGGGGGCCCCCGCCTCCCCCCAGAGCCAGAGGCTTCGCGAACGCGAAGAACTCTAGGAAGAACTCGTCTCGCCACACACACGCCAAGAGCGCATGCTCTGTCTGTCGGGACGTGAGGCGTGCGTGCGTGCGCGCTATAGGGAAGGAAGGAGGAGCACTTACTTACTTGGATGGATGGAGGGAGGGGAGAATCACAACGATGTGCGTGAGGCACCCACCCCCTCGATCGAGGGCACCCCCCCACCACCCACCAGGATTCCTCTGGGTCGTCTTGGAGATCCGCGTAAAGGATACACATACACTCACCCGAGAGCAGCTGAGCCTGCCTCTGGCCTCGCCTCCCTCTCCTTCAGGCATTCGTGGCATCCGATGGGTCGCCCAGAGTATCGACCTCTGGCTTGTCAGCCGCGGTCACTTGATGACCCCCTTGAAGTACAGCGATCGCCAACTCGCTGGCCTCTTCGCAGGCCCCCCCGACCGCGTCGAACTCATCGGCGCGGGCTCTCTCGGCTACGGGACCGGCCCCAGCTTCGGCTGAGGGCTAACAAGCTGCCGAGCCCAAATCACTGTGAGGGTCGTGATTTCTTGTTGGTCTTTAAAAATCTCTCTCTCTCTGACACGCGAGTAAAGGACGCAAGTCTCGAGCCCGGGCCTTCTTAGGTAACTTGGACCACACTTGGAGCTGTAACGGTTCCATCCGAACGTCCGAACCCGACCGTTGCAACAACCAACCATGGTGAGCCTCCCCCCGCGCGCTCTCTCTCCCGTCTGGTGTGTGACCCTTTCCCTCCCCCCCGTGTGGCAGCGCGAGTGCATCACCATCCACCTCGGCCAAGGCGGCATCCAGACCGGCAACGCGTGCTGGGAGCTCTTCTGCCTCGAGCACGGCATCCAACCCGATGGCCAGATGCCGTCAGACAAGACCATCGGCGGCGGCGACGACGCCTTCAACACCTTCTTTTCCGAGACGGGCTCCGGCAAACATGTGCCGCGCACAGTGTTTGTCGACCTCGAACCGACCGTCGTCGACGAGGTCCGCACGGGCACGTACCGCCAGCTCTACCACCCGGAGCAGCTCATCTCGGGCAAGGAGGACGCCGCGAACAACTACGCACGCGGCCACTGTGAGCTCCCCCCACCCCCACCCCAGCCCCGACCCCCTCTCGCTCTTGCGCCGGCCGATCCCTCGCTACCGCGCCCGCCGACCCCCTCCCCCTACCGCGCGCGCGCGCGCATCTGCCCTTCCACTTCCTCACCGCCCCCTTCCGGCCGCGCAGACACCATCGGCAAAGAGATCGTCGACCTCGTCCTCGATCGCATCCGCAAGCTGGCCGACAACTGCACCGGCCTCCAGGGCTTCTTCGCCTTCAACGCCATCGGCGGCGGCACCGGCTCCGGCCTGGGCGCCCTCCTCCTCGAGCGGCTCTCGGTCGACTACGGGCGCAAGTCGAAGGTGTCCTTCACCATCTACCCGGCGCCGCAGGTCTCGACCGCCGTCGTCGAGCCGTACAACTGCGTCCTCTCGACGCACACGCTGCTCGAGCACACGGACGTCACCTTCATGGTCGACAACGAGGCGCTGTACGACATCTGCCGCCGCAACCTCGACATCGAGCGGCCGACGTACACCAACCTGAACCGGCTCACCGCCCAGATCATCTCGTCGATGACCGCCTCGCTCCGCTTCGACGGTGCGCTCAACGTCGACCTGACCGAGTTCCAGACGAACCTGGTGCCTTACCCGCGCATCCACCTGGCGGTCGCCTCTTTCGCGCCCATCATCTCGGCCGAGAAGGCGTACCACGAGCAGCTCTCCGTCTCGGAGATCACCAACGCCGTCTTCGAGCCCGCCTCGATGCTCGTCAAGGTGGACCCGCGCCACGGCAAGTACATGGCCTGCTGCCTCATGTACCGCGGCGACGTGGTGCCCAAGGACGTCAACGCGGCGGTCGCCACCATCAAGACGAAGCGCACCATCCAGTTCGTCGACTGGTGCCCGACCGGCTTCAAGTGCGGCATCAACTACCAGCCACCCACGGTCGTGCCGGGCGGCGACCTCGCCAAGGTGATGCGCGCCGTCACGATGATGTCCAACTCGACGTGCATCGCCGAGCTCTACTCGCGCATCGACCACAAGTTCGACCTCATGTACGCCAAGCGCGCCTTCGTGCACTGGTACGTCGGAGAGGGCATGGAGGAGGGCGAGTTCTCCGAGGCGCGCGAGGACATGGCCGCACTGGAGAAGGACTACGAGGAGGTCGGCGCCGAGTCGGCCGAGGGCGACGGCGAGGAGGAGGGCGAGGAGTACTAGACGCTCTTGGCACAGGCTCTGCTCCCAAGACTAGCAGCGCGCGCGTCCCGCCTCGAGGGCGACACGAGGAGTTTGCATGTGCTCCTCGCCTAGATAGACAACACCAGTGCTGCAGCGGCAGTCACTAACTGCATTCCCGGGCCTAGATTCATAGACACTAGCTGCAGCGGCAGCCTCTCATTTGCATGTAGACGGGGTCGATTAGCCACAGCGACCGCCCCTAGCTCAGGCCGCCCTCCTTCGATAGAGTCACGCAGTGCACTCAGCGCAATATTGTGTTCTCTGTGTGGACTTGAAGTGTTCCATCTGTTTCGAGAGATCTTTCTTGAGCTCTCCTTTCGGCGTGTCCAGAGGAGAACGAGAGGATTAGAGCTTACATTCGCAGGGGTCCAGTCTGCGCCCTTGTCGTGCCAGTGTGCTGTGAGAGAGCCTTGTATTTTAAGGCCGTAGCTTCAATCTCTTGCCGCGCTAAGTTTCGCGCGCGTCGACGTCCGCGCTCTGGTGTCTCGCCTGAGCTCGCCCTTGCCGCCCGAGGCTACCCGGGACCGACAGACGACAGTATCATGAAAGGACGCGCTAGATGCGCTTGTGACCACGCGTCTCTCGTGATCGCGGCACGAACAGTGCTGTGTGCGGGCTGCGGCGCTCGCCACCCTGGCGATTGTGCTGGACGGCGGACGGTGTGGTTGCTCAGATGGCCTTATGACGACCCCATTTCGACATCGTCCCTCGTCCCTAAGGCCTCTGCTCATGAGCTCCATGCGGGAATGACTGTGGCTCAACCAACTGATCACAAATTCTCTCCCGCAACATCGAAGTCATCAAATTATGCTGTCACGATGAAGACTTTTGGCGCTTTGTGAGATATCGTGGGAATTTGTGATC